ACCCCGCAGTAACCTACTTATTTGAAGCAGCTTGATGGTGTAGGATGGATGTTCTGTCAGGATGAAATTGGTTAGACCAAAGGGCCTTCTTCATCCAAACCAATCTTGGGATCATTAGCACTTGATAGGAATCTGAGGCTATGCAATTAAAGCCAGGTTAAAGAAAGGTTAACAGCTTACAGTACGAGTACTTATAATACTGCAACAACTTCTTAGTCTACGGAAACACATAATATGCACATAATATGCACATAATATGCATACGTCCTTCCAAATAAACAGAGAAACACAACTAATCATAGATAACAATCCTTGTATTTAATTTATATCTTATCACATTGTCAAAACATCTCAAAGCACTTCAGAAATTTTACTTAAAGTGCCGTGACCGTCTTAAACGCAGTAGGCAATTTGTATCCAGTGAAGTCCCATAAACAGTGAATGAACAATTGTATTTGCATTGAATGCATTCAAACACATCCCTGCATAATTATGTACAAATATACATGTGCCCCAAAAGAGTACTAACATTGGTGAAGTGTTAGGCTCAGTACTTACGATCAGGAGCAATACACATTGAAAAGCCATTTAAACATACAAAACTGTTACACAGATAAAGCACCATAAAACAGAAGCATGCAGATAAACATATAATCCATATCTATCTGCTTACTGAAATAAATAAATGAGAAAATGGAACAATTTCAGTGCAAGGTTTTTTTAAAAAAATACAGTTTCTCAGTTAATTATGGGAAAATTGAATTAGTAAATGTTTTAAGGAACTAGTTTTAGGATATGTATAGGATATATTTAATGTATATTTCTGTACTTCTGTTGTTCAGTATAAATGTTTTACAGAAAATAATGTTTTGCAAATGTTAATGTAGAAAACATTTATATGGAGGAAGCTGACAAGGACATTCAGTGTTGAAGGACATAACATAGCATCTCCTTATAGTTCAAAGGAAAGGCTGCTTCTCATTGCATTTCAGTTTGGATTGTGTCCAATAATCTTATGGCTGAAAAATGTATAAAAAGATAGCAAACCCCAACTGCATTTTCATTATAAGATTCATCCGGAGCATTCATTTATAATAACGAGCTTTTAAGAAAAATTATAAAGTAATCCAGGCTGATTTTAAATGATTTAAAATGGGATCATGTTTTAGTGAAGGGAATTAGGTAAATTTGACATTTCATCATTTCCAATGCCCTCCTCGGTAGCCTCCCCAGCTCATAAAATCCAATTAACTTAAAACTCATCCACCCATATCCTGACACATACTAAACTCCCATCACCCTAGTCCTTGCCAGGCTCCACTGACCACCCCCCCTCCCAATGAAAATGTTAGGTGGGGGCATATGTTTAGACCCTCCCACCCAACTGTGAGTCTATTTAAGGCTCATAAGATGCATTTTTTATATTATCATATTTTACAGTTTATCACACTGAATGCATTTCCTTTCTCACACAGGCACACATGAATATAAATCAGTGCAAAAAAGTTATGCCATATTTCCATTGTCACCAGTAAAATATATATCTTGGACAGTTCTACATAGGGGATTAACAACCGTAGAAAACATGTTAGTTTGGAATCTCAATACATTAAAAAAATACATTATGGATGCTTAATGAATGGCTGCAAATCTAACATTGATACAGAGTGTACTGAATTCGTAAAAATTATTGCATAATCTATTCTTTATGCCCTGAATGTATTATTGATTTCTAATCTACGTACTATGGATACACACATAAAATTGTGTATTTTGTGTTATTAACCAGAAACATTTAATGTTGAAACATCAAGTTTGAAATTATATACATATACATGTGACACCCATGTAATTCTGTATATCCAAGTAATCTGGTAATTATAATTATTATTTGCATATTAACTATAAATGTTGAGTCATGTGACCATCTCTTCGCTTGCGTACTCGTGATCTTTTGTGATTTCATGTTCATGTCTGGACTTGTGTGTTCCTTGTGCATCTAGCTCACTGCACCCCAATTCCATATTCATCCCCTCCCTCAAACGTAAAAAGATTCCATTGCCTATGTTCTGGGGATCTGAATTCCCCAAATAAACTATATCAGTCACTTCTTGGCTGTTTGTGGGATATTGCACTGTGAAGCACTTTGAAACGTCTCAACAAAGTGATCAAGTGCTGCATCAAATGAAAGGATTCTTATTAGTTTTTCTGTAGTTTGTTGGTTATTATCAACAGTGGTCCATTTACAACAATAAAAGGTACCTCTCAATTATATTTGAATATAAATATTTTGTGGCATTTTCTTCTGCTCTGTTCTTAAACTCTATCAGAATCTTGAATCGAATCAGTCTGGGAAATGTATTCCTCAGGATGATACTAGTTGTAACAAATAATTTGTATAATAAATCTCTGATTATGCGATGCTCGATTCATTTCATCGAGGCTTGATTATGCAAACTCCCTGCTTGTCGGCCTCCCCAACTCCTCCCTCCACAGGCTGCAGATCATCCAGAACTCTACAGCCCGTGTCCACTCCTGCACGAGGCTCCGTGACCCCATCACCCCCATCCTCACCTGACTCCACTGGCTTCCCATCACACAGAGGATACAGTTCAAGATCCTGATCCTCACCTTCAAAGCCCTCCATGGGTCTTGCTCCCCTCTATCTCTGCGACCTCCTAACCCCCAAGCATCCTGCTCGCTCCCTCCGCTCAGCGGGCTCCGGCCTGTTTCACGTCTCCCGCCTCGCTCGCCCCACTGTTGTCGGGGAGGCCTTCTGCCACCCTACTCCACCCTCTGGAACTCCATCCCACAGTCCCTCCGCCTCGGCCCTCCCTTGCCTTCTTCAAGACTCATCTCAGGACACTTCTCTTCGACCGTGCTTTCGATCTCCCTGCTTCACCCCCTGCCCTCCACCCTCCCCGAACCCGACCCCTGGCTCAGGTCCAAAATCTGACTGTCCAGCACCTTGGGACATCCTCCAGACATGAAAGGCGCTACACAAATGTAATTTTATTGTTGTTGTTGCTCATCTGACTGATGAGAAGACATTATTTGTTGAGAAAAATGAATCCATCAAAACAAAGATTTGAGAATTCTTTGTATAAAAGGAAGCAATGTGTGGAAAAGGCTATTTCTGATGCACCTGGAGTCCTATAGCTAAGTGTTTAGAGCACTCGCCTTGCAAGCGAGACACCTGGGTTCAATTCCAAGCAGGGCGAAACCTTGGGCAAGTTTCCTTACTCCACATGCCTAATAATAATCCCTCCAAAAACCAAAACAATAATAAATTGGTCATTTTCAATCAATGACTGTTTGTGGGACACAGCTGTGCGCAATTGGCTGCCGCGTTTCGCTCACAAATATACAGTCAACTCACTTTACAATATATTCTATGAAGTGCTTTAAGATGTCCAGAAGATGTGAAAAGCGCTATATCAGATCCAAGGATTCTTCTTATTATTATTATTTAGAAACTGTCAGAGATATTCTGACCTAACTACTGAACATGGCCTGATCGCTTATTTGTTAATAAAATATTGAGCATCTGAATTGTATGGTATTTGAACAGAGGCAGTATTTGCACTCCAGGGCCCATGTAAAGCCTGCTTCCGGGGCCCCTAGTCCCCAGCCAACCAAAATTAGTGTGGCTATTCGCTGAAGGGCAGCCGGTGTGGGCCCGGACTGGTCGCTGATTGGTTGCAGTGAGATGTCCATCAGTCCGAGCGCCCATTCCCCCCTCCCCCCAACAGGTTTGGGTGGCGGAAAGGCGATTTACAGGGGAATTTCACAATGGCAACCCATTTCTCCCTCGCTGCTTCTGACCCCATGAAATTGCATGAGTTGCATGTGCCTAATGCCGCCACTGTATTTGAATCCAGTGGTTAATGTGTAGCTTAACTGGGCCACAAATAATCTGTTTTCCACCCTAGTGCAAAGCAATGTCCCACAAACAGCCATGAAGTCACTACCAATTTTATTTGAATGGATTGTTGGCTCTAACACCTGGAGAAACTCTCTTCTCTTTTTGAAGTGGCAGACTTGGTTTAATGTCTCATCTGAAGGACATCTCCAATTATGTAGTACACCCACAGCACTACATTGGAATGTCAGCCAAGGCTATATGAGTTCAAATTCCCAATGTGGAGATACAATCCTCTAAATCAGAGGCAAGAGTGCTACCAGCTAAACTTGGCTGACACAACAAATTATGATAATACAATGAGATTTTCTGAGTTCCATGTTCATTCAATGCGTTGATAACAAAAATATACACAATCTTAAGCAGATTGAGAGGTCCCATTGATGAATCTGTCACATTAATTAAATTGATTTGTGGCTGAAAAGCCCTGGAACAATTTTTACTGATGCAAAAAGTAGACACCAATTGGCTTTTCATTAAGTTATAAAGCTCCCATTAGTGGTAGCACTATTTTCATTTGGTTCCATAACACATCCATTGGTGTTTGTGTTTTTGCTCAGGGACTCATTCACAAGGTAAGGTTAATTTTATAACTATTAATATTATTGTTGGGCCAGAATCCACTTGCTGTTCATTTATCACTTTCATAAACTGATGTAGACAGCTCATGTTGCACAGCTTGCTTTGAATTGTCACCCGTTTTTATTCTTGTTCATAGAACCACTAACAATTCTTCCTCAGAATAGAGTGCTTTATTTGGGATTGGTGGCATTTTGTTAACAAGATTTGCGAGCGATTCACTTCTTCCAATAAAAATATTCACACTGTGAAGCATCCTGGTCAGATTCCTTTGGTCAGGTGCTGCTGCTGCAGTTGTAGTTGATTTCCGACACGTTCCAAAATCAATGAGATGAACAAAAAGCTTTGGAATATCACTTCAGTTCATTTATCACTTTCACAAAGTGATGTACACAGCCCATGTTTCGCCAGGAAGAGGGTCTATTATCATTTTTTACCAAATACTGCAAAAATAATTGTTTCTTCAGTATTACTCTTAGCAGACAGACCCCGAGTGAAAATGAGCTCCATCTTCCGAAGCGAAGAGATGTGCTTAGTCCAACTTTTCTTCCAGACTGAAACAGCATACTACTGTATTAACGCACTGGGAGAGCTGGGGATGGTGCAGTTCAGAGATGTGAGTTATTTTTGAAGGAGCTCCTTATTTATGTGCTTAACACAGTGAAAGTCTTTTTTTATTTGCTTGTAAATAGACTTATAATAATAATAATAATAATCCTTGCATTTGATATAGCGCTTTTCACGTCGGGAGGACGTCCCAAAGCGCTTCACAGAATATACTGTAAAGTGAATTGACTGTATATTTGTGGGCGAACGCAGCAGCCAATTGCGCACAGCAATGTCCTACAAACAGTCATAGATTGAAAATGACCAATTTATTATTGTTGTTTTTTGGAGGGATTACTATTAGGCGTGTGGAGTAAGGAAACTTGCCCAAGGTTTTGCCCTGCCTGGAATTGAACTCAGGTCTCTCACTTGCAAAGCGAGTGCTCTAACCACTGAGCTACAGGACTCCACTAACTTCACCCTACCCTTCATACCTGAGCACCTCCCTATCTCTTTAATTGCTTCCTAGTTCACTCCTCTACTCCATTCAGCTAACACAAGCTTGCCGTGGGTCCCCTGATCTATCCACATCACCATCAGTGGCTAAACTTTCCAATTCTACACCCCAAACTTCTGAAACTCCCTTCTTCAACCCTTCCATCTCGCACCCTCTCTATCTGTCTTCAAGTCCAACCTTAAAAGGATAGTAAGAGTACAGAGGAAATGGAATTCTTCCAAAAAAAATCATCACTGAGATTGCAAACTAAATACAGGGAAATCTTGTCATAATCTTGTCAGTCAACTGGGTCCAATGTCTCAGGAGCTCCATTATAAGTGAGGGATGAGAAAGGGTTGAATAACCTCTCCCCCGCCACCTTCAAATCCTACCTAAAAATCTTGCTTACGATCACCTCCCCCCTCTCTCTCCTCCTGGCACATTGTTAGGCTTCTGCCACTGTCAAGCATTCCATGACACTACCCCGTGTGAAAGGTGCTATATAAATGCAATTTGTTGTTGTTGTTGACTGAGAGACTAAAGAAAGGCAGGGCACCAGGCCCGGATCAAGTGCACACAAGAGTACTTAAGGAAATGGGCATCATGAATGGTATCTGAGAATTACAGGACAAGGACACCGTTTTAACAAAAGAATTAAAACAAAAACCCAGATTAATCAAAAGGCCATTGGAACAATATTGTAGGTCAACCTGAAGGAATGGAGCATCTAGTGAAATATAAAATTATAGGGTACACTCATCGTGGCTTTTTGAGAAAGGGGTTGTGCATGACAAATCTATGAGAGTTCTTGAAGAATTAATAGAACTTGTTGGCAAGAGTCTTCAGTAGCTGGAAATATTCAGACAAGGTTCAGGGGAGATCGTATTGAAGATTCTAGAAGGTATATAATAGACTGAACCCTAATAATACATTTAGGTGATATATTATATCTAGAACCAGGGGAAACGGACTGAAGCTCAGTTGAAGGAAGGTGAAAAATCAGTTCAGATTCAATTATTTTACACAAAGAACGGTGACTATGTGAAAGAGGGAGAAGTGAAGGCAGATTGTGTTGATAAATTCAAGAGGGAATTAGATCAGCTATTTTGGTGAAGAATTCAATTGAGGAGAGTTTGAGAGAGTACAAGTTTTTTTTTACTTTGAGATTGACCAGATGGTTCTTTTCCAGTTCTGTTTATTCCTATGCCCTTCAGAATGCAAAATTTTTCCCAGTCACGTTCTCATGAAAATCATTTGCTGCATATTAATCTTGTTTTTAATTTGCTGCATGCAGTTCCAGAATGTTTATTTTAATGAAATATGAATCAGTGGTTGAAAAGGTATCAGCAGAAGATTAAAGTCAGATAAACTCTTCAGTTCAACTTACACAAGAGTAATTGTTCAATCATATTTCATTTGATTCTTCCCACAATCGCACAGCTGAATCCAGGCACTATCATTTTCCAGAGGAAGTTTGTGAATGAGGTCAAGCGATGTCAAGAGATGGAGAGAATTCTACGTAGGTTTTTCTATGGAGATCATTTCCTATTTATATAGTTAACATTTTACTCCTGTCATTTATAAAAGATGAATTAGCTCCACAATTATTGCAAAGTGACAAGTGCTTGAATTTCAAGGTGTTTCTCACAATGCAAATCTTCCTTTCCAGACTTTTTAGAGAAAGAAATTACAAAGGCTAATATTCCAATCATTGAAAGTGGTGAAATTGATAAGGCACCTTGCCCGAGGGATGTAATTGAATTAGAGGTCAGTATTGATTTCAGCAAAAGCTGTCTGTCCCATTTACTGCTTCTACAGCAAATTGCTGTGTTCTGTTTCTTTCAACACAGATGGCTTTATAATGTCTGCAAAATGTATTGTAAAATGAAATTCTGTTGCCGCGAATGAAGAATTTATGTACCCAGTCATGGAAATAGCACAGCGCTGTCCTATGGATTGAAAGATTACTGCAGTGAGTTTTCTATGGAGAAGATATAAATATGAATATGCAACATTTTGTTTTTCTATTTTTGTTCTTCCCACTCCTTTCTTTCTTCCCCTCCCTTCGCTCAGTGAACACTGGTCTGCTTCATGTCCCCCGCCCTATCCACCCCACCATGAGCCAAACTTGTGAATGAAGGTGAGCTTTCAGCAATTCTGCCCTTTCTCTCTGGAACTCCTTCCCAGAGGCTTATTGACTTACCTCTTTGACCACGCTTTCAATCATCTTTCTCCACAACCATCTTTCTTCCCCCATTCAGGTGCCCAGCCAGCATTATAAAATGCTTTGAGACGTCCTCCCTACCTAAAAGGCACCCTATCAATGTAAATTGTAGTGTATTGTAGCCAACTGTTAAGGTAAGTTTCCATGACTATGGGTAGCTATCCAATACCAGTGTGAAGTGACAATTTGTCCTGTGAAAACCGAGAGAGACAGTGAATATTGTCAGATCAATTAACCATTGAAAGCATGACAGCTGAACACTATCTGACCCTGACATCCACACCAGCAAAAGTCATTGCAAAGTAATCAGGAGCAAGAGACCTGGCTGAATTTTCTCTTCTCTATCCTTTGTTAGCCCCTCAACTGTTGTTCAAGAATACCTAACTCAGCACAGTTTAGGAATCGAAGGTGCGACATTCTGATCTGTGTATTTAGTTTTACAGTTTGCTAACTAGGTCATTGGGAAAACAGGAAATATATTTTACAGTGAAAACGCAAGTGCACTGTGGATATAGTTGAATTTTCTTTTAAAACTATTTGATTTTTTTATATTTTTACACATATTTCTATAGAAATTAACCATTTAGCGTTGAATGTATCTTCCCTTGCCTGCTCTTAGCTTTCTTATTGTAATAATCCATCCAAAAAAAGACAGCTGTATGGTCCAGGCCCAACCATCTCTGTGACTACCACCCATGGTTCTCCATGATCAGCCATCAGGAGCAGTGTCTGGTACTGACCCTTCCAGTGCTTCTTTGCCCTGTGTGTAGAGCTGCAGGTCAAGAGCTGGCAAACCTTGCTCAGCAAAGGCAGGTCAGTCAGAGAGAAACTCAAAGAGGTCAGTCACAGTCAAAGGAGGTGAAAACTCTAGCCCCTGGTTAGGAACTCAATCATCTATGATAGCAGTTTGCCCATCTGTTGTTATTGTATGAGCAGTTTCCTCGTATTAGACTCCACCTCCTTCCCCTCAGGCATCACTCCAGTTGTGTCATTTTATTGAGGGTTCCCATTTGGGTTAGGATCCGTGTCTACCAATACTATTATCCTGGATGGGTAAAGTAGTCAAACACTATAGAATATCTACTCTTTACCAATAACAACAACTTGCTTTTCTGTCGTGCCCTTCAAGCAGGATAGGGTTATCGTTATCAGTGACAGAGCTAAAATCTTCACAATTGTGTTTTCTACAATTGTTCTCAGTGGATTAAATTACTTTTAGTCTGAGAACAAGTCTGCTTTTCAGGCAGTTTAGTTACCCGGTTCCTCAGTACCTGAGTAATGCGTATCACAGGACATAATGAGACACAGCACTTGCATTTCTCATGTAATCCAATAACTATAACCCCCATGACTGACTGATTTTTTTCATAATGAGGCAGAAACACTGGGGTCAAAATTGCAACATTTTCTAACAGATTGTTTCACAAACATCACATTTTAACACCCTCTGTGTGCAACTGCAAGTCTCGAATGTATCCTTACACCAAAAGCTAACAATAATAACATTTTAATTATTTCCTTCTACACAGCATAATAGATTTGGACAACACATTGTTATCTTGTTAATTCACGCAATATTTGGCCATTGGATAGGATGAAGAAATAATTTGCGATGACGCTTTAAGAGAGAAATGTACGTGTGTATTAAAAGATGCAAAAGAACCATTGGTGTTAACAGATTTCATATCTTATTTGTCATTTCAGATAAAATAGACATTTTAAGCCCTCTTATAAAATGATGCCTTAACATTTCAATCTATTGTCCTCTCAGCAAATCAATTTTAATTAGATTTATCTGCCCCCTTTTAAAGTGCACTGTGCAGTGCTGGAGGGAATTCAAGCAGTAAAATCTCCACAATTTCTCATTTAGGCTGCTTTTGAAAAGCTAGAAAAAGAGTTGAAAGAGATCAACACAAACCAGGAAGCTTTGAAAAATAATTGCTTGGAGCTGACGGAGCTAAAATTCCTTCTTCAGATAACTGAAGATTTCTTTGAAGAGGTATGTCACTTTGTGCCACATATGTCCTGAATGCATTTGTGTTATTGGACCATCATGGAATAACAAGTGCCTCAAATGCTGTCAAACAAAATATTAAAGTCCCCCTATATGTGGGAAATATATTAAAATGTCTATTTTTGTTTTTAGAAAATACTCAGAGGGGCTAACAGTGAGGTTTGGAGTCTATCTGGGGTGCCTTAGGCCTAACCTCAGATTTAATTCCCCCAACCCCAATCTGCCTCATCCACATCACCATATAACCATTTAACCATATAACCAATAATATTATTATTATTGTTAACCATTAGTGTGTTCAGTCTGTTATTGTGTTATCATGTGGCCTGACTGATAAAACTATAATTACAATCTCATAATTATATTCTTCCTCATGTAATTACGAGAACACATTAGGCAGGTATGTTATCTATTTGCAGTGAGACATTCGCTCCTTGAAAGGACTTAGGATTTTCAGGTAAAATGATCCCAATTCTTGGGAATGAATCTGATTGGTGATTGTCTATCATAGCTGTCCGTCATCAGGAAGGTGGGCCCTAGATGATGAGTGACTGTGGAAGCTGTTGGGCATCATGGAGGTCAGGTTCTGGGCAATGCTTGGCTGTTTTGAGCTGTCAGTCACCTAGATGGTCAGCTCTGGGGTGACAAGTATCAAGAGCCAATAATGAGAACACTCGGGAATTCACATGAAAACTTGTTTAGCTAATCCACCCCTGACCATTACAGATGTAGACTATTCCTTGACTGGAAAGTCAAATTATGATTGGCGAAAACTTTTTTTCACTTAGTTTTTACTTTCACCACAAATCAACATAAACAACCAATATGCTCAGCTGAGGGATACAAACAGACTCCTGCCAACTAGCAGCACAAAGGGCAGGCTGTAGCTTCTGCAACAAAATGCTGACAAGCTTTACTGAAGTGTTTTAGCTGGCACAGCAGAAACCATCAGGATCAGCTGCCATGCTGTGACAATGACCGCAATTTAATTTTGGAATGATTCTTTTTCTTGATTGCTGCAGAGAAGGCTCATTGTGCAGCGTTTACATTCATTTCATTCTTTTTCTCATCCGGCCCTTCCTCTCAACTGTAAATAAGTCCAATAATGTCATAAAACCAATATTTGAGTTACAACCGAGGGTGAAATAAAGGCTCAAGCTGAGGGTATTCAAGATCAAATTCAAGATTCCCGACCGCACTTTCAGTTGTCTCCACAGTTTCACCCCATCATATCTCTACGTCCTCCAGCAACTCTACTGACGGCCATTCTTTCCGTCCAGCAAGCACCAGCCTGCTTCACGTCCCCCACCCACTCTGTGCTGCCATCACTACCTCATGACTAAATTAACACAACCACAGTAACTAAAACTTGCATTTATACACCATCCTTCACATAAGAGTAACATCTCATAGTGCTTATGATGGCATAGAAGTTATGATGGCATGAAGGAGAATTTTGGCAGAATCGGATATGAGGTAGGGATGGAGGTGGATGATGTGGCAAAGATGCAGAAAAGTTACTTGGTCGGAGATCATATGTGAGGGAGGAAAGAGAGCTGCAGATTGCACCAAAAGCCAAGGTGGCATACTAGTTCAGGGAGTTTGAGAGAGACCAGGAAGGTTGAGGATGTCAGCAACAATAGCAAGGAGTAGTTAGAGAAGGAAGTTCAAGGAAAAACAAGCAGTGACCTATTTTTGGATAGTGGCTTCCAAACAAATTCTACATCTCTCTTTCAGGCTGAATTAAATTTATCATCATTAGTCTTTTAGCCATTAGCTTTTTAGTTTCATTAAAATAATAATCCTTGCATTTGATATAGCTCTCTATCACGTCTTCGAGACGTCTCAAAGCGCTTCACAGAATATACTGTAAAATGAATTGACTGTATATTTTGTGGACAAAACACGGCAGCCAATTGCACACAGCTGTGTTCCACAAACAGTCGTGGATTGAGTGACCAATTTATTATTATTATATTTGGTGCTTGGTGAATATTTAGACAATCCAGGCTGAGATTGTGAATCCAAGATATAAGATATGACGGGGATGAACTCTAGCATTTTCTGATAGAACCAGTATAAATGGGTAATTTCTATGAACTTGTGAAGTATTAGATTTTTTGAAGTGGAATCCTGTTGTATCATTCACAATGTTTTACACTCCGTCATCAAAAACAAACCATTATTACTTTATGGATAGCTTCCTTTAAAATACTCTGATTCCAATTAAACAGTATCCTTCTTAACGCGATGGTAAGCTAATTTGTTAGAGGATTCTCCATTTAACAGCAGAAGAAGTTGGGCAACCTTTGCTGAATTATGAATCCACATCCTTTGTCAAAAGGTTCAACCTGTCTTCTGAAGCAAACCATTTTTTAATAGAAACAAATCAATTAAATAGATATACTTCACCAAGTCTGTTTCAAAACAAAGGATTGATGTTCTTGAAAGACGTCCGATTTAAATTCAGCTCTATCTTGAATCCTCCCTTCTAATCCTGTTCTCAGTGTAACACTTAACAGAACCTCATTATTTTTGTCGTTAATGTAATTAAATTAATGTGAGCCATCATTTACACTTAAATTAGCTTTAATGTAATTCTTCATTACAATCTGAATATTGTGTTTTATAGGCATTGTGCACGATAGTTTACATGATACACTGAAGCTTCCTTCAAAGATAATCCCATGTTTTACCAAGAAAATAATGGGGTTGATTTTCCATATGTTGGATTCTAAGGACTTTCACAGAGGAATTTTTTGGCCATTGTGAACAGTTTCTGAATATATAGGAACATTACAGTTTCCTATAATGAGTCCCCTAATACCTGCCATTTCACTTTTTTGTCGACATAGGCAGGATGTCAATATAAACTGGTAAGTGAGTAGGACTGTATCACAAAACAAACTTGGGAGGTTATCACCTTCAGGTTCAATAATTCAGGCTCAGGTCACCAAACGTGTTGGGAGGTTAGAAAATGTTTACACGTGGTAAAAAAGATAAAGCTGAAATGTCCAATCAACTGCCTGACATGCAAAAACATGAAGACTACCACATATCATGTTGTGCAAATCAACAATACCTAGATTTGAATCATTGTTTTAATATCCATATATTTCTGATTACTCATAAATTCAGGTAATGGGAAAGGTCATGGTATAACAAAATAGAAATTTGAGCTTTATTATAGAAGATAGTTTATAATGATCGTATATCTTGTAATGATATTTCATTGCCATTGCACGGTTTGTTCCATATTCAGTATAAAGTCCTGTTTATCTTAGAAAAGCCCTGGCTTAGCTGTCATGACCATGGAGACCAAACATTTGCTGAACAATGGAGAGTATCGTCGTGTGTCCGGTTGTTTCTGTGTTTCCCTGACATTTGTATATTGTGCAATGAAGTTATGAGCTATAAGATGAAATACCCAATTAACTAGGTATCCAGACAAGGATGAATGCCTTAGGAAGAAGTTTAAGTGTTGATTGTGAGTATCTGTGCATTCAAATGTAAAACTTTTATCGTAGAATCATTAGAACATTTACAGCACAAAAGACCCCATGACACAATGATTGAAGAAACACTTAGTAGTTGAGGTAGCCAATGGAAATGATTGCAGGTATCTTAATCTACACCCGTGCATATTCAATAACACATCACAATCTCTGGGAAGAAAGGATTGATGTAGAATTGTTCCTGTTTCTCCAGCTGTTGATCTGTACCACTAATAGAAAAGTCTGAGCCTGTAAGCTGGCCTCAACATTTCAATCAAGCATTTTTTGCATGTAGCTAGACCTCATTCTTTCCTAATGCCTATTAAATCTTCACCAGATGACTGCTATGAACCAGAGGCAAAAACATTCAGAGCATCTGTGATCTTCACAGCCACAGGCTGAGCAGCTCTTGTCGCAGTGGTTTCAGCTGAGATCAGATTGGCAGTGCACTAATAAAAGTAAATTTCATGTAGGCACTAACATGCTTCTTACAGCGCTTACAGCAGTGATACTGTGAACCAGATTACAGTTTGTTGTTAGTGCAGAGAATATTAAAGGGAGGATGAAGACCATTCTAGAATGCTCTTATAATTATTTGTCCCTCAATTATCTTTTAAACCCCACAGGTGTGCAATGATCTGTTCTGCCTTTCTCCACCTCTGCCACTATCTCTCCCCTCAGGCTGCTGAGATCCTCATCCATGGTTTAATTACATCCAGGTTTGACTATGCTATCTCCCTGCTCACCAGACTTCCCAATTCCTCTCTCTACAAGTTGCAGATTATTCAGAATTCTGCAGCTCATGTACTCTCCTCACTAGGCTTCACTGGCTCCCCATCCCTCAGAGGATGGAGTTCAAGATCTTTGTCCTCAACTATAATGCCCTCCATGGTCTACCTCCTCCCTACCTCTGTAACCTATTAAAACTTCATCAACCTGTCCACTCGCTCTGCTCCACATACCCTGCGCTGCCTACTCCACCATCAGCGGTCAGGCCTTCAGCCTTTCTGCCCCCACCCTCTGGAACTCCATCCCTCCACCTCTTCCCCTCCCTTGCCTGCTTCAAGGCCTGTCACAAGACCTTTCTCTCAACTGTGCCTTCGGTAATCTGCTCACCTCTCCCCTTGCCCTCTACCTCTCTTGATTCCAGCCCTCAGCTCGAGTGCAAACCCATCACTTTCCAGCGCCTTGGGATGACCTCCCAACAAGAAAGGCGCTATATAAATGCAATTTGTTGTTATAGATGTGATAATCATCAAAATGATTGAGCTCAAATCTGCTTCTAGAGGCCATTAAGACAGCCACTGTGACCATTTAACATGCCACTCGTGGCATTTTATAGCACTGGAGTTAAATGATAATTATGAGAATACCATCTTAACTTTCTTTTTAGAATGGATTTAAGGCATTTGTCATCAGAGAGATTAACAGAGCAGAAATTCTATCGGTGTAGTATTACACTGAATGACATACTTTGCAGCTCCATGTTACAGTTTTGGCTTACTTACAATATTTTTCGCCTTTGAATAAAATGATCCTATATTTACCCTTTCAATTTGAAACAAGTGTAAAAAATAGAGGAACTGATTCTCTGCCAATGGGAGGTATATTAGAAAATCACTTTGAGGTTGGTAGGCATTATTTTTTTTTAATGTGTATTGGGCTTTCGTTTTTCAGGCAGAGTCTCAGCTCTCAGGCTCTGAGCTCCCCTCTGAAGAGTCAGTGTCTGTAACCGCATTTTCAAGAAGACTCAGCAGCACGAGTGGAGGAGGACGTCTGAAATTGAGGTAATTTTAGTCTATCATATGTTATTGAAAGATCTGTGAAAACGTTTGAATAATAATCCTTGCAATCAATATAATAATTATAACACTGAAACACTTCAAAGTGCTTCACAAGTAATTGCTGTCAAGTATGGTAATTGTATGCGCAGCAGACAGTTTGTATATAGCAATGACCCACAAACAGGCATGAAGTCAAAGCCCAATTTTGGGGGAAGATCATTGGACAGGGCACCAGGAGAAACTCCTTTTTCAAAAGTGTCATGAGATCTTTAACATCCAACTTAAACAGACAGATGGACCTTGGTTAATGTCTCATCCAAGGATTGGCACTTCTGACTGCACAATTACACTGCACTGGAATGTCAGACTAGAATGGGAGCTCAAAACCTCAAAAAGTGAGGCTTGAACCACAACCACTTCGGAACCAGAGGCGAGAGTGGTTTCCAATTGCACCAATCTGATACATGTGTGTGCAGCCAAGCTTCAATAATAATAACACGTGCATTTAATGTATCACCTTATCATGTCAGAATACCACAAAGTTCTTTATACTTTGTGAACAATAAAAAATAATAAAAACGTGGTCACTCAACTACGGTTGTTTGTGGGACACTGCTGTGCACAATTGGCTGCCATGTTTCGCCCGCAAAAGATACAGTTAATTCACTTTATATTCTGTGAAATGATAGTGATGCCTTAAAGATGTGATAAGGCACAATATCAAATGCAAGGATTATTATTATACAAGTTACTTTGAATGCTTTTACTGTTGTTATGTAAGCCAACACAGTAATTAGTGAGTGCCAGCAATGCTATTGTGACTAATCAATCTTTGGGGGAGTTTGAATGAGGAATTGCGAGTCAAGACACCAGGGGAACTCTCTTCCTCAAAATATTGTCAAAGGACATTTAATGTCCATCTCAATTACTGGAACAAGTTTAACATTTCATCCAAATAAGTGTACTTCCAGCAATACAGCACTCTTTTTGCATTGCCCTGCAGTGTCAGCTTGGATTATGAACTCAAGTCCTGGTGTAGATCTTGATCCCATTAGGTTTAAATGTAATGAATAAATATGATCTCTTATGTGTATTTTGTACAGCTTTGTGGCTGGAGTGATCAAGCGAGAAAGGTTTCCTGCTTTCGAGAGATTACTATGGAGAGTCTGCCATGGAAACATTGTTTTACGTCATGTCAAAATTGATGTCCCAGTGGAGGATCCCATGGCTGTAAGAAATCAATTTCTGATTGTTCATCAATGGTCTATGAGCATTTGCAACCACCAGATTTGTGTCCTTTTTGTCTTATTATAATGATTTAACAAAATAGCTTGTCAAGGTTACAAATGCCTCTAAGACCAGGGCTCCCTCTGCCTCCTTTTCCTATTGGATATCTCAGCTGTTTTGGCACATGCCATTCTCCTTGGTTGTCTCTCCTCCCTTAACCATCTCAGTGAGACTGCTCTCCCCTGGTTCAAGTCCTACTTGACCCATTAACACTATTCTGTCTCCTCTAATGGTTCCTCCTCCCGCCTCACACAATCACATGTGATGTACACTAAGGCTCTATTCTCAGCCCTCTCTTTTTTTCATTTACATGCTCCTTTGTGTTCATAGCATCCACATACATGGGGCCAACTTCCACATATATGCGCATGACATCAAAATCTATTTTCCCTCCTCTAGTCATAATGCCAGTCTTATCAATATTCTGACTGCAAGCTTGACTGATATGAAGGCCTGGATGAGCATTAACTTTTTACAGCTGAACATGGACAATACAGAAGCCAACCTCCTTGGCACCCGTCAACGTCTTCTCACTAGTGGTTCTAAAATCCCTAAACTTCCCTGCCTATCCCTCAAACTCACTAAACATGTACACAACCTTGTTCGTTGATTGGTACATCGCTTTTCTGGGGGTAATAATCCCTTCAAAAATAAAAATAATAATTTGGTCAGTCAATCTACAACAGTTTGTGGAACACTGCTGTGCGCAATTGATTACCTTGTTTTGCCCACAAAATATAGAGAGTCAATTCACTTTACAGTATATTCCGTGAAGCGTATTGAGACATCTCGAAGACGTGATAAAGCGCTATATCAAATACAAAGATTATTATTAGTAATAGTAGTATTATAGCTGAGTCCAGTACTGCCCTTACCTAGCATCTGTACAAGCATACACTTTTCAAAAGGAGTGAGAAACCTAACTGATTGTTCTTTCCCTAACCCAGAAATAATGGAACGAACATTTGTAGCATTCTTTTTCAATACTCCAGCTGACAATTTTGTTTGGTCAACCAAGGTCTGACACATGCGGAAACCCATCACTATGCTTAAGAATATCCGAACCAAACTGAGATTTCCAAGCATCCCACCCACACGTAGAAATCCCTGGGATAGATTATTGGAATGGAATGCACACTGACTCCAGGGAGGGACACATCCTGTTTAACTAAATCCCGAAAGTTGGAGTCTAAGCAGCTAAAACCGCATAGCTTTTTTCATTGATACCGCTGCTCTGGCACCTAGGACAACAATATTCTTTAGAGCTTTGGCTTGCAAGGTTAACAGGAGGTGAATGGGATGGCTCCCTTCCCCCAGTGACCGGTCTGCCCAATGAGCCAGGCTGGCTGTGCCCTGGAATACTGCGGACCTGCCTGGCTCAGGAACCAGACAACCGAGATCACCACAGAGGGCTGACTCGATTCTGACATAACATTGCTGGGCCTTGGAGCCAGTTCAGCTCCAAGAAGACCCCACTTAAAGGCTAAATTCCTTCACCCTCTGGCATCTCCCTACCTCTCCGACCTCCTCACTCCCTAAACCATCAGACTGGCACCAGCCTCCTGCTCGTCCCTCGCAACCTGCTCCCCGTCATCGGAGGTCGCACATTCAGCCACTAGGCCCCGAAACTCTAGAACACTTTCCCTCAATTTGTTCGCCTTGCCCCCTCTCCCTTTTTCAAGTCTAACCTGAAACCTTCCTCTTCGAACGTGCGTACTGACACCTCGTCACCCCCCCACCCACCCGGCTCAGAGTCAGGCTCCATCACTGTTAAGTGCTCTAAGACTCTACCCAGCATGGAGGGTGCTATATAAGTGCAAGTTGTTCTTGTTGTTGTGAGTTCTGGCTGAGCTCAGCTAACACATAACCGAGAACAAGGCTGGGACCCTCCTGCTTTATTTGGGCTCATTAGCACAAGGTCCATTTACCACTATTGTAACTTTTTTTTGCGCTGATTGTATCACTCCTGTTGAACCAAACAAAATCAGTAATTACCTGGAGCTAATTTTAATTTAAGAACCTTTGCTCTACAATTTGTTTAAAAATTAATTCATTAAGCAGAGAAGACATGGCATCCTTCATAAAGCCATTCAGTTTTGCATTATTCATGTGAAAAGTGGTTAGTGGATACTTTCACCTACAGTCCATGAATTGCATGAATCTGGCTCACTCTCCAATGGGTTTGAGTAATTCCCTGCTACTGGTGCAATATCCTGCACTTGTGCATTGTGAGAAAATGTCATCTGAGTAAAAGTGTAGTGACTGTGCAAACGATGCAGCCATTTGCGAATAGCAATGTCTGATGAGCAGCCATGGAGTGAGTGTCCAATTTTCAATTTTAGAGGCAAACTTTTTTGTCAAATTAGCACAGGTAGTTTAACAGAAGCCCTTAACCATGTGTCTAATTATTCTGTTCAGAGCATATTAAAAAGCAGGTTTCCTTAGACTTTGAAAATGTATTGTGCAGAGTTAATAATAATAACAATAATAAGTATTGCATTTGATATAGCGCCCTATCACATCTTTGAGACCTCTCAAAGTGCTTCATAGAATAAACTTTAAAGTGAAATAACTATATTTTGTGGGTAAAATGCAGTAGCCAATTACACGCAGCAGTGTCCCACAAACTGTTTCGGATTGAATGACCAAATTATTATTATTTTTTTTAAGGGATTATGATCCCCGGAAAAGCGATCCGCCAATCGACTAACAACCGGGTTCCTATTTGCTGCTAGGTAAACAGAGGTGTGTGGAATAAGGAAACTTGCCCAACGTTTTGCCTGGCCCGGAAATCAAACCCAAGTCTTCTCGCATGTGAGAAGAGTGCTCTAACCATTGAGCTACAGGAGTTCCTAGGTCTCACCAATGCACAACTAAGAATCAGTAATTCTGTATCATAGCTGGAATCAGCATATCCTGAGATTGTGTAATTGCAAAAGTGAATGCAGTTCATTGACCAACGTATTTTATCAAATTCCCTTGCTGTGAGTAAAATATACAGCATTTTGTATCCTGCACACATTATTAATAAGACAGCTATTCATTGCTTTTGAGCTGTCAATGTACAGTTAATGTGTGACCTGGGATCATGTTATCTTGTCGTGTGACCATTGACCATGACCTAAAAGATCATGAGCTCTTTTGCCACATGTGGTCTGGAAACTAAGAAGACATTTTCAGATCTCTGGATGAGCTGTTGTCAGAAAACCATACATATTCATAAATTAGAAATGGCGTTGTGAGCATGTGACCAAAATATGATGTGTCAAGGCCCAGATGAAATATATGATAAATATTTCCAATTTGTAAAAATAATCATAGGCAGTCAGAATTTTAATGTTTTATGAGTTAATCCAGATGGCTTTGTTGTAGCGATGTAGTCTGTTTTGAGGTAAAATCATTCCTGATATCCTCAGTTTACAGGGTCCTCACGATCACTCACTCTCTCACTCTCATTTCTGTGCGTAAAGATTAAATAGTAATTGACTTCCCTCAGCTGGTCTGTCGCTGACTCATATCACCACAGCAGGTGTAAAAAAAAATGCATTATTCATAGAACAGCTTCTGCTATTCTGCTGAAAAGCTATATTCTCCATGTGTCCTGCATGTTGCTTAGCACTGATGTCTTTCATGGATACAGACTGGATGTCAAACATTAAAAATTCAATAGTAGAATCTGTATTTTATTTGCTCAATGAGATTGGCTGTATAACTGAAGAATCTGAATTAATTATTTACCAAAATTTCTAGTTTATAAGTTGCACCCTTGGATGTGATCATGCCCTCTCTAGTCAAATGACCTGCCAGGACTTTCTGTAAAAAAACTCACACATAAATAATAACCACTGGAGCAAGCAATCACCCTTGGAACAAAAGCCAAATGAAAGAAAACAGGTATACTTCAAATTCAGATTCAAATTCCTCACTATCCTAGGTTTAAGACATTGGTATTGAAATTCTCTCTGGATCTTGATTCAATCTATTTGTATAGCATTTCAAAGTCCAGAATTTGGCAAATTCTTCAGTGCAACGTTAATTTTGAAGCTATTATTCTGTAAGTTTATGTTTGTGCAGAAAATGAAATGTCGACTCCAGTGGAATTTTCTTCCCAAATGCCTTAAAATTTACGTGAATATTGGATAATTCTTAAATTTGGAAGTAGTCTTAAACAAAACAAAACTTCCAAATTAAGGCTAATGAGATTTTTCCAAAATTTGCACATATCTTAAATAGTCTTTAACTTAAGACATGAAGATTTCAAGTGTCATAAGAAAATGAGCAGGCAAACTGATTCCATGTACGTGTGCATATTAAACCAGCAATTACTGGGTTATGACGAACAATGGGGGCCTGTTTATATGAACTTTTGTGTTCATCAAACGGACTTATCTCACTGGCATAACATATATTCCTATCACTTTTCTTTATCTGTAGGATGAATTTGTCAATAAAGACGTGTTCATGGTTTTCTTCCAAGGAGAGCAATTTAAAAGCAAAGTGAAGACAATATGTGAAGGGTAAATATTCTATAAACTCTTCTATTACATTCAATGAGAATAAAGGGAATGGAATGAATGGACCTGGAGAAGAGTTCATGCCTGTCTTTCTCCTTTATTATTGCAGATTCCATGCCACAATGTATCCTTGCCCAGAATCTTTACACAAAAGAATGGAATTGAGCATTGGTGTAAATACACGGATTGCGGATCTGAGCATGGTAAGTTCTGAAGCCTCATGTCTAACAATGTAATGTTTACAATTGGAAAGCAATCACATAGTACAGTAACCCAAGGTAGCAACCTGCTCATTAAATATCATCCTCATCATAACTCCCACCAATTTCTATTGACTCAGGTTGATGCTAAGCACTTACATTTTGCATTTTTCAAACCATACATTGATTGCAGCCTTAGGTACAGATCTGCTTCCAATCTGAACACTATATTTGCCACTGTTACTTCACTCCATTCTTTGTCAGACATGTTTTTATCATAGTTTTGCTTATCAGTGCTAGATTGGAAATATATACTTCTTTTATAAAAAACCCAAACATCTGTGTACTACAGATTTACATCACTGATAATACAGTACCTTGCACGTACTTTTAAGAACGAGTGATGAAATTTGATTTTGATACTGTGGTTAATCAGATCAAAACGTCTCAAACCCTGAAGTGCAGTGAGTGTTATCATATCTGGAAAAAACTGCAGCCTTCAGCTAAAGATGTAAATAAAGTGAGCAACGATTTAGAGGTCAGAGCCAACAATGTTCAGTATGTGGATACAAATGCACCTAGGAAATTGGAAAGCCCTTAAAGAGGGCAGGAATAAAAGCATGTGTAATCTTTTAAGTCGCAAATGCTTTTCTGTCCGTTGTCTTTCTGAATAAGATTTAGAATGTTAAAATACTAATATATTGTCTGTACATACCCAAAATTTCTATTAAGATATTTTTCTAGTATTACTGAGGTTCCCTGCCTCACTTAACACTTTTGTATCACTTTATTCTGCTGTAGGGACTTGTCCCCCTCTCACACCCCTGCTCTCTTCATCTCCATATTATCATCTCCTGAACTTCAGCTCCAAAATACTGCAACTACTACTAATAATAATCCTTGCATTTGATATATTGTACTGCATTATCATATCATTGAAATGTCTCTAAGCACTCACAAGATTTACAGCAAAATGTAGTGACTGTGTATTTGTAGTGAACCTGACAGCTAATTTGCACAAAGATTGAGGCTCTCAGTGCCTGAGGTTAGAAGGCACTGAGGGGAGCCAAGCAGGAGAGCCTCTGTCTTATTGACATTCAACTGGAGAACGTTAGCTCTCATCCAGGACCATATAGCCCAGTTCTTTTGAAACTATAACAACTTATATAGTCCCCTTCACATAGGGTAATGTCTCAGAGCACTTAACAGAGGTGGAGCTTGATTCCGAGCCTGGTAGAAAGGGAAAGTGACCATAGGTACACTCAAATAGGAAAGTCTTCAGATGCGATCTGAAAATGAATTAAAGGGAGCAAGGCAGGGGGATTGAGGCAGGGATTTCCAGAGATTTGGGGTGTAGTGCCTGAAAGTACGGCCACCAATGTGAATCTGGGTGAATGATGCAATTTCAGATTTTTCTGTATAAATTTTGCTGTTTCTTCCACATCTCCGCATTCTGTCCGACATGCACAATTTACCATTTTTGCAAACAGACTGGATAAACATCAGAAATACACCCATTTACACAACAGCTTTCAAGTTGTTAAACATCTCAAAGCTTTGAGAAGAGTGGGGAATAGAGGGAGTTGAATGGATATTACTGCAGGTGCAGTCAAAGAGATGGGTTATTAAAAGGGTTTTGAAAGTGGAATGGAAGGGTGCAATGTGGACAGATTTAGGGAGAGTTTCAAACAGTAGAGGCAAAGTGGCTTGGTTGAACGTACAACACAAACTATTGCTGTTTACTCAGCATGCTGAGCTTTCCCTGGGCCCCTCTTACCTTATAGGCCATTCAAAACACTCACTGAGAGTCATTTCACAATTCATTTCACAACCCATTCCCATTTTAGTGATTAACCTACATTTTTTGCAACCTGCACACATTAGACATCATAAAAATATTACACATAATCTCTGTATTACACAGACCAAATCAATCAAAGTGTTGAATTCACAATGTAGCATTAAGGGTTTATTGGAACACAATAGATGGTGCAAGTTTCATTTCCATGTCATTTCCACATTATGTGGGTTGGAATATACCAAATACATTCATATTAAGATAAATATGAGATAGTCAAAGCAGACCTAATTTCACCCACAAAACACACACTCAATCCACTTTACAGTATATCCTATGAAGCGCTTTGAGACGTCTCAATGCTGTGGTAAGGCATTATATCAAATGCAAGGTTTATTATTATTATTATTACAAAGGGAGTTTAGGATAAACGTCTTTATAAGAGGGTGGTGAGAGTACGGAACTCACTGCCTGAAGCTATGGTTGAAACAAAAAAGCTTCAATACATTTTAGAGGAAATCGATGCAAACATGTGGATAAGGGAATATAATAATAAAATAATAATCCTTGAATGTCAGGGGAACAGACAGAGGGAATAAGTGTGGAGTATAAACACCAGCGCAAACTGGTTGGATCAAAAGGTTTGTTTCAATACTGTACAGTTTCTAGAATTTTGTGGCATTGTCTTCAGAAAACAACTATATAAATTTAAAAAATACAATCCTAGAAGGTGAATGCAACGAGTCATAGAAATCGCTTGATTTGTATTCTAACCATATTGTACGATATTTACGTCTGTGGAAACAATGTTTCTCTGAAGGTTTGGTACTGCAATAACACTCTGCACATGAAAAGTGTTCACCAATTGCATAATTGCCTTATTTCTCTTTGTTCTATTTGGTATCTTACAGAATCCTTTAATGAGTTATGAGTTATGTTCTTTTGGGAGCAAAATGTAATAAAGCGTAATCCTGTAGGGATTTTTAATTATATATGATAAACTTGGTAATAGAATTACAGTATAAAGGATTTCAATAAAGAAATAAGCAATTCTTTGAAATTAAAAGGATTCAGGGTTATTAGATGATGAGATGGTTCATTTCATTTTGTAAAGCTGGATGGGAAGGCAATAGTCTACTCTTGCTTGCAATTTTGCTCTCTTACTTGACAGATATGGAATAATTTCAAAACATGTAGGTGTTTTGGTCAACTTCATTCCATCCCATTCTTTAGAAGTGTCAGTCTGAATCAGTGATAGCACTCTTTCATCTGGTTCAAACTCGACATTGGGACTTTGAACTCATATGGTCTAGGCTGATACTCCAATGTAGTGTGCTGCATTGTGATGGAGATGTGGTGTCCTTTGCACGGGACGTTAAACCGAGTTCCTGTCTATTTGTTCAAGTAGATGTTAAAGATCCCATGGGACTATTCAAAAAGAGAAGGAAATTTCTCCCAATGTTGTGGCCAATGTTCCCCCAAATAATAAAATTGGTTATTCACTTCATGGCTGTGTGCAAATTAACTGTTGCGTTTGCTGAAAAATATACAATCACTCCATTGCTGTATATCCTGTGAAGCGCTTTGAGACATATCCTGACGTGAAATGAGCTACAACAAATGGAAAGCCAATTGTTATTAACTACTTTCCCTTTCTTACTTTAAAAATGTAAGAATTATTAAAATTAAGTGTTATGAATACTAATGGATTCTTTACTAATGGGTCAGCTTTAAAAAACATTGAAGTAGAAGTTTATATTTCCTGTTGACCATCTCTCAACTGATAGTGGGAGGTATACAGAATCCATACTTCCTCATGACAGTACCTTTTGTTGTGTTTGATTGCTTCCCTTGGTGCCTGTGTCCTAATCTCCTACTTTGTCATACTCTGCAGTCTCTTCCCCCATACGAGAGGTGACTGCAATCACATTGATGAAGATTCGGGTGTCATGAATCATCTTAACATCTTTAGTGGCAGATTTCCCACTGGGACTCGCGTGTTTCTTTGTCAGCCACCAGAATCTTCACCTCTTTGTTCCTAAAATTGTTTCTCTTTGTGAAGCTGTTTTATTACCAGCCAAGATAGCAGCCAAATGCTTTTCATGGCACAATCTATTAACTCAAAGCAACCTTTTCTCCTGATCTCATTTAACTACTATATTCCCCACTTATAATAATTGATTTAGTTTATATATTTTTTAATGCAACCTTATTTTAAATCACAAACTGATGATTAGGATTCTGAGAAGTCTTCTACATCAATAAAATTGGAAGGGTCAATAAATCAGGTGCTGTGAAGCGCTGTGAGAATTACCTGTGTGAGACTCTGCTGAGCTACTCCACACTGAACACCTCTTTTGACACCACACAACAACAACTTGCATTTATATAGCTCCCTTCATGAGGGGTAGCATCTCAGAGAACTAGTATGACTAGTGGCTTTTCTGTTATCAGCTCCTTGTACAATCTATTTGGTGCACAGTATATATGTGCAGACACAGAGATACAGGTGTGCTGTATAGTATAAATGCAGTTGTATTGACAGTTTCATCTAAGTATTTTACTACAGCTGCCTGAGAAAAAGTTGTACAATTTGTTGGGTTACAGTGGTAAGTAAGAGAAGCAAGAACATTGTAGTCTGCCTCTGTAAGAAACAATTGTCAGGTTGAATCCCTGTACGAAATGACAGTGCAGCAGTGAATCTCCAAGGAAGGAAGAGCTCGCTGGCATATCGCTGTGAATAATAACTGTGTGGTATTGTGAATCATTTTGAATCCACATAAGTCAATGAGGGGAATTAAGAATCTCTACAACAAAAATAGAGAGAATGTGTTCAAGAGTCAGGAGAGTGTGTGTGCAAAACAGGGGAGTGTGTGAGGAATAGGACAGTGTGTGTAAGAAACAGCATGTCACTGCACATGTGTGAAAAACAATATGTCACAATGAGTCTGTGTGAGTGTGTTGCACTGCAGAAAAGATTTCACTGTGCATCTGTGAGAATAGCAATGTCGCACTGGATCTGAGTGATAAACAAGCTGTCACTGTGAGAGTGTGAGAAACACTCCGAATGTCACATTGAATATATCAGAGAAACAGGAATGTCCCACTTCACTACTTTTGAGAAATTAGTGTTCATCCCCGTGAGAAATGAAAGTATCACAGCATCAGAGTAAAAAATTACATTATCCCAGCAAATACCATTGAG